AAAAGCTTTTGTGAAAGGTGATGTCACCACCCTAGCAACCCTTCCAGAAGGAAGCCTGTGATAACATCTCTCCAGTACCTCCAGCCTTCTCTTTCCTGCCTGGAACACAACTTTCCTCCCTTCGTGTTGTATTTTTCATTACTCAACCAGCCATTCGGGCAACAAACATTTAGCGAGTGCCGGTTGTAGAGTGGGTCCTGGGCTACAGTCCCCATGCTTCCTGCCCTGTGGCTTTGCTGACCTGCAAGCCTGTGCCTCCACCCTCGTGACCATCCTGCCCAGAGCCTCCTCGAGACCCTTTATTGGTGGCTCACCGCGCAGCGCTTATCCAGTTAAACTAAAAGTCCACGTGTACTCAAGTTCCTTCTTTTGTCTGTGCTGCATCCAGAAGCAAAATAATTGTCCAGCTGTCCTGAGAACAGCCAACAGTTGGGATTGTGTCAGCGAGTCTTTGTTCAGTTCCTATAAAGGACTGTCTATTAGGTAACAATCCGTTCCAAATGGAAAAGACGCCTTTCGTAAGGCCTGAAATTAACGATTGCCACATCCCCCTTCAGGCCCACAAACAGTTCTTTCACTACGAAAGAACAAGCTTGACTAACTAGAGTCTTGAAAACGTCTTTTCTAGCTCTAAAAATCATGGGATCTGGCCGCAGAGACAAGCAGAGGATGACAGTGCATGAGGGGAGCTCCTGCGAAGAGAGGCGAGCCAGGGGCGGCTGGCGTGGGCCGAGCTGCCACGCTGCTGCCCGCACTGCTTTTCTTTCGTGCACGGAGCATCAGCAAGGGTGGGCTTGCGAAGGGCGACGCCGTCACAGGACGGCGCTTGGACGATGGCATCACCTCCACGCAGGCGAAACACCACGTGAGCTTGGGGGGGGAGCTCGTCCCACATCCCGACAAGAACCGCGCTCACCCGTGGTGGCTCAGCACTCTTCAGCCTCCCCGTAAACTCACGAGGATGAGGCAGGAAAGAAAGTCAGATTTCGGACATGCCGGCGCTCTTGCCGGACAGGCAGCTGGAACTTTCCGTAAGACGCACGTGTGTGTGTGTGTGTGTGTGTGCACTCACACGTTGTCACGGGCTGAACTTTATCCCCCTGATATTCATACGTTGAAGTCTTAACTCCCGGGAGCTCAGCATGTGACTGTGGTTGGACACAGGGCCTTTCGAGAGGTACTTAAGGTTCAATGAGGTCATCAGAGTGGGCATTAATCCCTATGACTGACGTCCTTATGATAAAGGGAGGTTGGGACACAGACACACAGTGGGACAACCACGTGGAGACACAGCGGGAACACAGCCACCGTTAAGCCATGGAGATTGGCCTCGGGAGACGCCAAACTTGCCGAAGGGGACCAGAATATGCCACCCCAGATGTGCCACTTTTTGATTATGTTGAGCTGAAGGCAATGAAGACCTAGAACATTCGGAGAAAAAATTTTCTCTCTCCCTGAACTGCCTGGAAGAAGTGAAAAAGGGACCTGAGCTAGAACAAGAACAACGGCCGGAGATAACTTTCTTATCTGAAAGACTTACCTGTGTGGCAGGACAAACGTCTGACTGCCAAACATCCGCTCTTTCTCATGGTCCTGTGCTGCGAATCGCCCCCTCCCCTTTGAAGCCCCATAGGATGGCACGTAAGCCTCAGTTGCCCGACTGCCTTTGGGTCCCATGTTTTTATGGGGTTCCTGCACATACGAAATTAAAATAGATTTTCCCCCGGTCGATCTATCTTATGTCAATTTAATTATCAGAACTAAGAACCTAGAAGGGTAGAAGGAAACTATTTCCTCCCCTACATGGCCAACACCTTGGTCTCTGACCTGTAGCCTCCAGATCCGTGAGAAAATTAACTCGTATTGTGTAAGCTGCCCAGTCTGCGGTACTTTGCGGAAGCTCAGGCAGACTAACGCACCCACTCCCACACATTCACACACTCTCACGCTCACGTAGGAACACTTTCACACACTCAGCCTCGCACGCACACACACAGACTCATATACTCATGCACCATCTACACAGACATACATCAAACACGCTCACTCACACATATATCCTTATACACTCCCCCCCACACACATAGACACACGCACACACAAATCACACTCTCACATACTCACCCATGCAGACATGCTCACACTTATCTCAAACACAAACACTCGTACCCGTTCTTGCACAGACTCGCACTCAAACGCACACTCACCCACACAGATACATACTCTCACACACCCACACACGCCACACCTCACCCTCACACACACTTCCGGAGCCCCGAGACTTGGGCTGTTGCGGCTCGGGCCTGCACCGAGGCCAGTTCCCTTCCTTTGGTCTCCCTCAACCTCATTCCTCTTGCTAGAACCTTCGATCCATCGGGGGCCTTCTGCCTGGAGTCTGACTTCTGGCATTCCGGCACTCCCTGCGTGCCTGGCACTTTGCTTTTCTGTCTCCAACTTTGGCCCGGACAGGAACAGAATGGCTGAGATGCTATTGACCGCAGGCAGGCCGCACACACTCTGAGTCTCAAGATTCTTATCCCTAAAATCAGTAATCTAAACTAGCACAGTGGTTCTCAAAGTGGGTCCCCAGACCAATAGCATCAAGGTCACCTGGGACTCATTAGAAATGCACATTCTCAGGGCACCCGGATCGCTCCGTTGGTTGAGCGTCGGACTCTTGATTTCGGGTCAGGTCGTGATCCCAGGGTCATGGGATCGGACCCCGTGTTGGGCTCTGCATTTAGCATGGCACCTGCTTAAGATTCTCTCTCTCTCTCCCCCCACTCACGCACACACTCTCTCTCTCTCTCTCTCTCTCTCTCTCTCAAAAAGTAAAAAAAAAAAAGATGTGCACATTCTCAGGCTCCACCCACATATACTGAATCAGAACCTCTGAGGGGGTAGAGCCCAGAAATCTGTGTTTTAACATGTCCCTTGGGAAGTTCTGATCCAGGCTAAAGTTTGAGAATCACTGAACTGGAATATCTCTAAAATTTCTGTTCGGTAATAAACCTCCCAGACTTGCTGTGTGCATTGGGTTATTTATGAAATGCCTTCAATGCACCCATTCCCTCCCAAACATCATCTCTACAATCCCCTAAAGTAGGTGTCACGAAACAGTGTTTTCCGGAGTCGCCTGGTGGCATCCAACTTCGGCTCAGGTCATGATCTCACGGTTCGTGAATTCGAGCCCTGCATCAGGCGCTCGGCGGTCAGCACGGAGCCTGCTTCTGATCCTCCGTCCTGCTCTCTCTCTCTCTCTCTGCCCCTCCCAGCTCATTCTCGCTCTCTTTCTCTCTCTCTCTCAAAATAAATAAATAAATAAACTTTAAAAAACGATTTTTAAAAAGTGTTTTCCGGATGAGTGACACGAGGCGCAGAGAGGCTAAGTAACTCACGAGGGGACACACAGCTGGAGATGAGCAGGAGGAGGATTTGAACTGGGGCTGCCCCACCACGCTCTCTCCTGCCACAGTGACGAGGGCCTGACCCCCTATCAGCACTCAGGGAATGTCATTTTCTGGTGGTCCTATGACCCTCAGGTACCTGCCCTTCACACCTTGACCAGCATTTCTAGTGTCTACCACTGCCTACGTGAAGTGCCTTCCAGCTCCCCTCCATCCCCTCCCCCAGTTCCGCCTTCCTTTGGTTTTCACAGTGGCGAGTGCCGAGGCACCCCAGCACTCCCCGGATCCCACAACCCTCGGAGTCAGCTTGGCTACTGGAGGAAAGCCACTGTCCTAAGTTCCGGACCGCGATGGCCTGGAAAAATGCACCCTCTCTCCTCACCATCTCTCCTTACGAAGAGAACCTCCTCCTGCGGGTGGCTGTTGAGACCATCAAAGATCTGATCCTCACAAAACCCCAATACCTGTGGGGGAAAACGATGCTTGCGTAATGTTCCCATGGACGAAGCCTGAGGCATGTGGGCATTGAGCAGGACGTGAGCCCTCTCCCAGTACCGGTATTTGGGGGTGGCTGGACCACCCTGAGGCATACTCTGCTTCTTTCCCATTTCAGAGAGGCTCACCCCGCCCCACCTGGTTCTCTCCCAGCAACAAACATCCTGCTATTCTCAGTAGTGCCTGCTTAGCGGTGCGTCCCCTACCGGGAAGACAGGGATTTTGTCTTTTCCCTGCTGTAGCCCGAGTCCACACACATAGAAGTGTCTAATCAATATCTGTTGATTGAACGAATGACTGCTGTCCCATCTACCGGTTTCTACCTCACGGGAGAGCTTCACACACATGCATGCACATGCCTCAGGGCCGGTGGAGGAGAGGCCAAGTTAGGGCAAGGAGGTAGGACACGAGAGCCCTAACAACAGAGGGAGGGTGATGATGGGGCAAGAGCAAAGCACAAGGGGCCGAGGGGGAGCCGAGAACGGGTCTTTGCACAGTTGGGACTGAAAATGAAGCCAAGCTGAGGGTGAAGGAAAAGTATCATAAACCGAAAATCAGTCCCAAGACCTGATAAGGATGTTTTTCAGATTATGGAGGAGGTCTGCTCACAGACAAATGATTATTTGTTGTGCCGAGTGCACAACGGTCACTGATGTGGGTAAGGATGGTCGCCAGCCTGTGAACCTCCCGGTCAGTCTGAGTTCAGACCAGCTCGCGGGGATGCCTCGTGGGCAGGGCATCCCCACGAGGGAAACCCCACGGGGCAAACCCCACGGGGGTTTTTGTGGTCTGGACTTTCACCCTAAGTGATGCTAGGTTTAGTTCTGTTTTCTGTCTGCAGAGAATTCCTGCACCACTTGTCCTTTGGGGGAAGCACTGTGCATAATGCGGTACACAGGGTGCCCTGCGCCAGATTTCATGGCAGCGTGACCACGCTGGAGACTCCAAGCCGTCTGTGACCAGGTTAAAATGGAGTCCTCCCACCTAAAGCTCCTCCTCCTCCCCGGGGCACGGCCCCTCCGTTTTAATGGGTCCTCTGGTCATTCCCGGTAATTCCGCGACCCGGGCCCCAGACATCAGCAGAAGGGCGTGGCTCACCTTCGGTTTCTCCGCCCCCCGCGGTGTGCTTCTGGGCCCCGCTCCGTCTGGAACTGGGCTGTCGCTACTGCCCTCTAGGCGCAGGCAGTGGTTACAGAGATCAGCTCCGGAACCGAGGGGTGTGGTGAACAAAACTCCAGGCAAGGGAGGCGGCGGAAAACAGCAGCGAGGTGTCCGCTCCTTTGCAGCGATAACCTGGTGTGTGAGGTTAAGTTCGCGCTCGTTGCGGGCGCGCCCTGCCAGCTGCCTTCCCGTGGGAAGGGCCGTCGGTTGTAAGTGAAGACACATGGTTGCTAGACAAACTGCCTCACCAGAAGTCAATCAGGGAGGAGTGGAATTATCCCAGTGATGGATTTACTCGGTCCTGGCGAAGCCTCGTGACCAGGATGATCCAGCTTCGTGAACAGCCTTTCTATTCAGTTGTTCTCCCGCTTAGGGGGTGTGTTCGATGTCAACTGAGGCTCTCCACTACGTGCACCGGGGACACCTATGGGGAGGAAAGTTGTAGGCCTTACGTTCCTCCTGCTCAGCGCAGCCAGGCGTGTGATGCCTTCTGATGTTCCTGTAAAAGTCATTTTATTAGGAATTAATAACTGAAGGCGGCAGGGGTGGGGGAGGGGAGCTAGGTGGCTCAGTCAGTTAAGGGTCCGTCCAGCTCTTGATTTCGGCTCAGGTCATGATCTCACAGTTTGCGGGATTGAGCCCCGTGTAGGGCTCCACAGCCAGTGGGAAGCCTGCTTAGGATTCCTTCTCTCCCTCTCTCTCTGCCCCTACCTCCCCTGCAATAAACAGACAAAAATAACTGTGAAGCGATGAAGGGGGTCAAAGGCACAAACTTCCACTTATAAAATAAATAAGTGTGGGCCTTGTAGTGCACAGCAATGTGACTGCATAGTTAACAATACTGTATTGCATGTTTGAAAGTTGCTAAGAGAATAGATCTCAAAAGTTCTCATCACAAGGGAAAAAGTGTGTAACTGTATGTGGTCTATATGTGGTGATGGATGTTTTCTAGACTTTATTGTGATCATTTTGCAATACATACAGATATCAAATCATTATGTTGTACACCTGTAACTAATATGATGCTGTATGTCAATTATATCTCAATATAAAGCAATTTTAAATTTTTATTTGAAAAAAATTTTTAGTGTTTATTTTTGAGGGAGAGACAGAGTGCAAGGAGGGGAGGGGCCACGAGAGCGTGAGACAGAGAATCAGAAGCGGACTCCAGGCTCCAGGCTGTCAGCACTGAGCCCAACACAGGGCTTGAACCCATGAACCGTGAGATCATGACCTGAGCCAAAGTTGAACGCTTAACCGACTGAACCACCCAGGTGCCCCTCAATAAAAAGAATTCTTAAAAATAGCCGTGAAGTTTTGTCAGCCATCTCTAGGCACAGAGTGGATCTTTGACTAGTAAACGAATAATATGAAAATAATACAGCAAAAGGAATCTAATCACTAACTAAACCCAGGCTAAAATTCCTGATTCTTCTATATATTCAAAGAACTTGTGAATAATGAGCTAATGAGAGGCAACTGGGTGGCTCAGTCAGTTCAGCATCTGACTCTTGATTTAGGCTCAGGTCATGATCTCACAGTTTCATGGGTTCCAGCCCGGCATCAGGCTCTGCTCTGACAGCACGGAACCTGCTTGGGATTCTCTCTCTCTCTCTTTCTCTCTCTGCCTCTCCCCAGCTTGCACACACTCTCTCAAAATATATAAATAAACCTTAAGAAAAATAAAATAGACCTCTAAAAACTGAGCTTATGACACACTGCCCCAGGGAAAGGAGGTTTTATCTTTGCTTGAACTCCAGATGTGCAAGTAAATACTATAAAAAGCAAATGGGTGACCAACAAATTCTAACTTTTTGAAACAGAGGAATTATTCCTCAATTATATCGCCAGGGTATGTCAATGGCAGGAAGGGGTAAGGAAATAAAAATAGGAAAGGAGTAATTAAGCTCCTAGCTGGGATGATCATAAAACCCAGGTGAAAATGTGGCCATAGAAGATGGACTCTCCACAGGGTGGCCGGCTTCTGGGCTCTGAAGGGGACAGTTCAGTGATCCGACCTTCCCCCAGGACGGGGGTGGGGGGTCCGAGGAGAGCCCATAGCAGCCCTTTCTTCCCCAAACCTCAGGCACCTCAGGCTTTCCTGAGACAGTCTGCTTCGCCTAAGGCTATTCTGTTTCATTTCCCACTTTCCCTTTCAGGCCGGGGTCAAGGGAACCTAATATGCAAATGGTTACAAAACTTCCGGAACACAGAGCTCCCTAACATACAAAACCCAATTTCCCGTAAGAAATGGGCAGCTGTCTCCATTTCTTTTTGGAAAGAGGTGACGTATAAAATATTTATATTCATTAAATAGAATCGTTTGTCCTAAAATAACATGTCAGCTTACCTCTGGGCAGGAAGTCTCATCTGCCCACGAGCACGCCCATCTGCTTATACTTAGGGCCATGGTGCCTGCCTGCTGGCGAAAGTCATCAAAAAGATGTGACCGCCAGTTGACCCAAGAGCTGGCCCCAGGCCATCAGAGGCTTCTCGCCCTCTCCTGTCCTTGGAATGTGGGTCTAGCTCGCCTTTCCTGCTCCTACAGTCTCCTCCAAGGATACAGCCTTGAGATAATGATGTGTCGTTGAGAACACCTGCAAGGTATACTTAACCCAGTTACGGGCTCTCTATACATAAACTTAAGATGTGGCGGCAAGGGTGGGGAATCCATTTGTCTTGCAGCCACCCAAGATGAGCCTCGTATGCAAGTTCCCTTTGCTTATTAAAGCTGCCTCCTAGGGACGCCTGGGTGGCTCCATCGGTTAAGCGCCCAACTCTTGGTTTCAGCTCAGGTCATGATCTCACGGGTCATGGGTTTGAGTCCCACATCGGGCTCTACACTGACAGCGCGGAGCCTGCTTGGGATTCTCTCTCCCTCTGTCTCTGCCCCTTCCCTGCTCACTTTCTCTGTCTCTCAAAAGAAATAAATAAACTTAAAAAAAAGAGAGAGAGACAGAGTTCTTGTCTTCACAAAACTCACAGGCCAGTCTTGGAAGTGGACACAGAAATGGGTCATTTCAGTGCCTGGTCAGAAATGCCCCGATGAAGGAAAGTTGGGGACAGTGGCGGTGGGGAAGGCCGTTGGCTGGGGGCGATGACCGAAGGGAGAGGGAGAGGCAGAGTGCCGGGCTCACCTACCCCGGGTCTGCAGGGACCCTGAGGGCAGAGCAGGTGGCCCTGCCCAGACCCCTTCTCTCGCTGTCACAGCTGCCTCTTCCTCTTTGTCACTTTCATGTGCTACCTTCGACTGTAGACAGGAACTATTGCAAGACCCACATCAGCCATGGGTGAAGTGGCTCCGGAGATCGGGGACGTGGCTCGTGTGTGCCTCAGAGGCCACCCGCAGACTAAAGGGTACGGCCCATTCCCTGGGGTGTGCACCTTCCCCACCTCCACCCCACCCCCACCCCCGCCGGGCACAGCACGTACCAGTGACCCCAGGAGGATGGACTCACGGGCACTAAGCTGTGAAGCAGAATCAAGGAGCTTCCCATTTTCAAGGTTCTGCAATTGGCAACATGGGGAAAATCTTTCCCCATCTCTCTCAGCTAGAAATTATTTTCCTTGTAAAGACAATGCTTGCTTACAATAAAGCACTTTTTGGAAAATGTTTATTTATTTATGAGAGAGAGAGAGAGACAAAGAGAGAGGGCACAGGGGAGGGGCAGAGAGAGAGGGAGATAGAGATCCCAAGCAGGATTCTCGCTGTCGGCACAGAGACCAATGCAGGACTCGAACCCACAAACCATGAGATCATGACCTGAGCCGAAACCAAGAGCTGGACGCTTAACCGAATACACCACCAGGAGCCCCATACAGTAAAGCATTCTAGAGACAGTAGAGACATGGGCCGCCTGAGTGGCTCAGTCGGTTAAGCGTCTGACTGCAGCTCAGGTCATGATCTCACGGTTTGTGAGTTCGAGCCCCATGTCGGCCTCTGTGCTGACAGCTGAGAGTCTGGAGCCTGCTTTGGATTCTCTCTCTCTCTCTCTCTCTCTCTCTCTCTCTGCCCCTCCCCTGCTCACTCACTCATGTGCTCTCTCTCAAAAATAAATAAACATTAAGAAAAATTTTAACACAGTAGAGGATAATCTACAATGGTGAAAAATTTGTGTCTCCTTCCAGGCCTTCCCCAAGTGTAAATACACATCCTTGACTGCGGAAGAATAGGTTGTAGGTAGGAGACACAGTGTTCTGTGACTTCCTTATTCACTTAATCTCTGCATTTTCAACATATTTCCACGATACTACAGATCACCTGATCTCCCTTTTGTTTTCATCAATACTTCATCTCTTTTTAAAGGCAGCTGATTATACCAATGAAATGCCCTAAACCAGAACTGGCTGGGGCCTGTCAGCCTCTTTAGTAGAGGGAAAAGGCAACAGATTGAAGTGGAAATAGCCTGAGACATATCAAGCTCAGAATTCTGGCATGCTGGCTGTGTGGCCTTGATAGGTGTCTTAACCTCTCTGGGCCCAGATGACATATCAGTAAAATACAGATTATATACATGATTTAGTCTAAGGACCAGGGTGTAAAAGTTGCTCCAGAATTGTAGCTCTTCTTAAACAAATGGAGAGACAATCCACGTTGCTGGACTGGAAGCTTCGATGTTATTTAGATGGTCGTTCTCTCCAAATTGACCTATGGATGCAACTAGATCTTTATCAGAATTTCCTCAGGTTTTTTTTCTCCCCCAGAAACTCCTTCAATGATTCTCACCTTGCTGCACATCGGAATCAGTTATGAAGAGCCATAAGAGAACACTGATGCCTAGGCGCCTGGGTGGCTTGTTCAGTTAAGCATCCGACTTCAGCTCAGGTCATGATCTCATGGTTTGTGGGTTTGGGCCCCGCACCGGGCTCTGTGCTGACAGCTCGGAGCCTGGAGCTTGCTTCGGATTCTGTGTCTCCCTCTTTCTCTGCTCCTCCCCATTCATGCTCTATCTCTCTCTGTCTCTCAAAAGTAAATAAACATTAAAAAAAAAAAAAAAGAGAATACTGTTGCCTGATCCCAGACTCAGAGGCTCTGACTTAAAACGGGGCTGACACTGCGAACAGAGGGTTGACTAGGACCAATGGGCTCTGCCATGGGGTTGCTGTTAGACAATGGCTCGGGCTGGAGTCGCCTGGGAGGTCTCCTCACCTGAATATCTGGTGGCTGATGCTTGCTGTAGGCTGGGCCTCAGCAGGGGCTACCAGGCCAGACACGTATACATGACCTTCCCATATGGACTGGCCTTCCTCACATCACGGATGCTGGGCTCCTAGAGACAGAGTCCAACGGGACCAGGAGAAGCTGTTTTACTTTGCTAGATTACCGTCAGATTTCACACGGCAGGCCCTCGTAGTCACGGGCTTCCTTCGATTCGAATAGAGGGAGCATAGGCCCTACTTCTCGGGAGGAACGCCAACATCACATCAACACAAAATCGTAAGAATACGTGGGATGGGAGACAGTGTCACAGCCGTCTTGAAAAACACCATCTGCC